TATGCATTGGTAATCCTGGATTAAGACTTAATGCATATGGTAACAATGTTTTAGGCATATCACCAAAATCAACCATTACTTTAATAAACATTGTATCATCTCTTACATATGGATTACCTTCTTGTTGAATCAGTGTCAATGGGAAAAATTTCGGTATACCACTAGCAATATTCATTTCTGATCGTGGTCTTTGAAAACTATTTGATTTAATATCAGGTCGAAAAGAATCAATAATATGTCGTTGTTGAGGAGTTTGATCATATAAACAAAATGTAACTTTATAATTGAAAGGAAATTTTAATATTGTATCATGTGAACTACGCATTAGAATAAAAAACAATGACATATGTGTACGTCGAGCGTTGCCATCACCATTTAGATAAAGTCGAGCTCGCATTTTGTAGCCAGTCAGAGATGAATAAAATGGAGGTGAATAAATTGATGTTTGTCGTTCAGATTGTGCATCCACTATAAATATGAATAAATTCAATGAAAATGTGTTTTTAAATTTTATTGTTCTATTGTCTTTCTTTTAATCTATAACTGTACAATTATTCTCAACGAAAAATTGAAGCGTCTATTTCAATGAAACAATCGTCTTTTTTTTTTCAAATAAAACTTACTCATTTTTTCATGAAAATTTGTTATTTTCCATATAAATGTTCCATCATATGATACATATTGCATGTCATCGATTTTTTCTTTCAATGATGCAACATCTTGTTGAAGAATTTCTTGATTAGGTTTAATACCATCTAAAAAAGAACTTTGTTCTTGAATACTCAATTTGATTGATGAAAAGTCTTGTGTTAAAGATTCAATTGAACTTTGTAATCGAATTGATTCACTACTAAGACGTTGTGTATCATCATCTAATGTTTGAATTCCGCTAGCAAGAATATTTATTGTTTCATAGATTTCTTGCCATTGTGTACTAAGATTTCCATTTGTTGTTGTGATCATTGAACTAGAAGTACTTTGTTCCATATCAACATCCATTCCTGTCATTCGTTCATGTCGTTCATTTATTGCCCTCGACATCAAACGACGTATAATACTAATTATTACTTTTTGATGAATATCACTTAAATAGTGCTCTTGTAATTGAACTCGATACACCTAAAGGAATCGTACAATAATGTTTCTTTTATTAAGTTTTCGAATAACTAACGGATGGACCGAAAGTTTTCAGGCAAAATGTTTATTCCTCTTTTGCCTAAGTGGATGTATGTCAGAAAAGTTTAAAACTATGAGTTAGAACCAAAATTTTGTGCTCTTGCTGAATATGGGTTCATAAATGTCGTATCCATTTTTACTTGAGATTAGTGAGAAAACATTTAAACGTCCTAAAAAATTGGTTTGTGTGACGAACAAACATATATCTTCTACCATCATAAGTTCTTATTCAAAGTTGTTAAAAATAGTTAAACTTAGTAATTTTGTAGAGCGAATAATTCTGTACAAAATGTGATGTTGAATTAAAGTGTAGCTTTTACACAAGTGGCATTATAAACATTTTCTCAGGTACTGCTTTCTGAATAAAATGCGACTTGATCAAAATGTCGATTTTTCAAAAGTGAAGGTAATAAGAAAAGAAAAATCTTGGTGTTTTATTAGAAGACAAAAAAAAATTGAAATAGTACATTTTGTAAAGTGAATTTTGCTATACAAGTGGCTATATTAATGAAGGTTGCGACTTTAGATTTCGAATCCCAATAGTGAAAATATAAAAATATATGAAAAAATTTTCTTACTACTACTCTCGAAAAAAATCCGAGAAATAATTTTTGGAGTTCATATTCGGAAAGAGCATCAAATTTTGGTTCCAACCCATAGTTTTTGACACTTCTGAAATACTTTCACGCAGACGAAAGATGAGCAAACATATTGACTGAAAACTTTTGATCGATTTGGTATAGAAAATAATCGAGCCAAGTTTAACTGTTCAAGTTGAATCCATAATATTTTATCGTAGTAAAATATAGAATTTATCGCTAATAATCGTTATTTTACTAAACCAGAAATCAAAAATGAACTAAGCACGGATTAATTGTCGACAAACGTCTAAGAAAAATAATTGATTTAGGTATTATCTTTTTTGTAAATCTGTGATGCTTTAGGCAATAATCAAACGAAGTTCCGCCGCTTGTTTCACATCAGAGATAAAAAAAAACAAATAAAATAAAACCGTGATTTCAAAAATGGAGTCGAATCGAATAAAATCCGAACTGATTTTTAGGCTATTTTATTTGAATCTAAATATTGTTTCATTGCAAAAATATTATAGTATTTTGGCATGAAATTCAGAACGAGAGTGTGCTTGCTTAATCTCTTCTACAATGATTCTTTATTATTTTGCGACTATACTCGAATGTTTACTAAGAACACCATGGGCTATACAATGGCATAATCATATCAACTAATCATCGAATTGGTTTTCTAGGAAGAATAAATAAAAATGTATGTATAAAAAAGTGTGATATAAATTTTTCAAGTTTTTAAATTTATTTATTATTTGATATAGATTATAAGTGATGTAAATGAAAACTAAAATGTCTAATGACTTTTTACTACTCTAGTCACTAAATCCAAATGTGTTGTCTGAAATAGTTCTATTTAATAAAATTTTAATAGTTTTATTTAATGCAACTATGTTGATTTCATCACCTTTATCGTCATTTTCTTTATCGTCTACCTCTTCATATTTATCCGCATTCTTCTAATAAAGGATCATACTGAGAATGTGGCTGTAGTTATCTTCTATACCCACACCTCATATCCATCGAGTTTGTTGCCAGCTTTTGCTTACAAGTAGAACCTGTTGGAAAACTATAATGACTGCGATTATCACTACTCTTACCAGAATCACTATCTATTTCTTTTGCAACTAAGTGCATAAGAAAAATTAAATAAGATATTATTGGTAAATGATAGTTGCTATGTATGGACGTATAATAGATCTGTAAAACTGTGATAGACACTTGACAGTGAAATAAAACAATCAATATGAGATCAGAGGCGGTTGTAAATAAATTAAACAATTATTTATTTTTATGAGCAGCTGTTACTTTTTGAAATAGAGGTTAATTGTAACTAGTACTGATCTCAATGTGATCATATCCACATTATATAATAAATATCTTTTATTGCCTACAAAAAAGATGAAAGAACTAAAAACATCGGAACCGAAAAAAAAAAGTTTTCCCCCTGAATTTCAGATGACAGTGCTACAATTTTTGTATTTTATTATCTTGGAAATTGTTTGTTTGAATGATATCAACTTACTGAATCCAAACAACCATATTCTTTGAGCGCACAAGGTACAGTAATTTTGGTACATTCTTTTTGTTTGTGCTCATCAAGTCTAATCGTTGAATTAAATATTTCTCCACAAAATTCACACATTGGATTTGGATGAGTTGTTTTCAGGTGCTCCTGAAATATGAAATCATCATAGAACAAAAAATAAATAAAACCTTTTATTTTAAACTAAAAATTAAATAATATTTTAAAAATATTTAATTATTCTGATATGTGTGATTGCTATAATGAAAATAACTATGATCATTTTACCTCATATTCCTTAAATAAACCATTCCATCGGCATAATGAACATGTAATTAATAATGATTTCATATCATTTCTGAAACCACGATCAGGCATTATCTGTAAAAAACAAAGAATTATTCCTCAAATAGAAAATAATTTGAAAAACTAACTTCGTCTTTTGGTGTTTCATCATGACATTCTGCACATTTAATAATTTCCCTTGGTGAAAGAAATAGAATGCGCATTTGACACTAAACATTTATTAATAAATACCCTTCAATATCTTCTATACACGTTTTACATTGACGATGACCACATAAAAGTTGACAAGGCTCTCGTAACATCAAATTACACACTCGGCAAATGCACAATGGATTGATAGTATCTCTGTTCTTTGCGTCAAGACCAACCATACCTGAATAATACTGCAATATGAAAGATAAGTATTTTTCACAAATTTGATGAGAAACACGTACTTTTCTATCCTGTTTTGTATTCTTTTCAACTTCGATTGCATATATTGAATGTCCTACTATCGAAACAGATGATTAGGTCCAAGTTTTTTTTTTTGATTAAGATAAAGAGTGCGGCAGAGGAATTTGTCGGTTTTTGACAGCTTATGTTCTCAAGTTAAGCTAAAGCATGAAGAATTTCGTGGAGATTTTATTAATATGTTTGTTTTAAAATGAGTTTTTACTCTTTTCTTCTAGTGTTAAAGGTGCTGGACGGTGTGTGTGTTGGTAAGTGTGTGGGTTTTTTGTTTCCTTTAAAGTCACCCACACCCACACCCTGAGCTGACCATCAAGTGGTTCTGATGGTGCCGCAGTTCGAATCTGCAAGAACAAGATGGTTTTTTCTGAATTTTCTCGAAACGAGTCCAGGTGCGTCTTCTTTTCTGAACGCGTTCACACGCGTCTAATCCAACGGATGCGTTTCAACGCATCAGATGTTCCACTAGACGTCTAGGTGCGTTTGGATGCGTCCGGATTTTTCAACGCGTTTGAACGCGTCAGATGTTTCATTTTAGATGCGTTCAGACGCGTCCTAACACCGTTTCAAACGCATAGCAGACGCGCTTGAAAACGTGTTTAGGCCCTATAAATGTTTACATGGGGTGTTTTAAACGAAAAACGTTTCAGCTAGGCTACTTTCTTTAATTTTTACCGAAGTGATTCATTGCACAACTGTGGGTGACAGTACAACAAGGGTATGTCGGTGCTTCTAATGAACATATGATCATTGTGTTACTTTTCTAGTTCACCACCGTATCATGTGAAAACATCCTAGATCTATTCATTGATCTCCGATTTCATAAAGATGTCGCTGCCTTTCGGCATATTTGTTAATATTTACAAAAAAGAAACATCGTTTGATTTATGAGACAGCATAACATCAATCACCTTTTCGAGACGATTCAAGTTTTTATGCATTAATCTAATAGTTGTTAAATTGAACAGAACAGAAAAATGAAAGATGTTTACGTACAGACAAACTAGTCAACGTGATGTTACTCGAATATGCTCATTATTTTGAAATAACATACTAGATTCGCTAAATTTTGTACAGACCAACATTTTCTAAACTCTCTCTCTGCGTAAATAAACTACAATAAAACGATTTGCCCTGCCCTGTCCTACAGGGCAGGACAGGGCGCAGATAAAATTTCAATTTAATATTTTTAGTATGTTTTAACATCGAAGATTAAATATTTCTTAGAGTAATATTGAAAGCCATTTCTCAGTCATTCATCTCAATTCAAATACATGGCTAAGGTAATAATAAACACTAAGAAAATGATAAACATAAGAATGAAGATTACGATAAATACAATTTCAATATATAAGTTCAAGTAGGGATTTTATTTTTGTAAGTAATAAGAAAAAAAGCTTGTTAGCGCAGCCCCTTTGGGACTGAAATGTGGAACTCACATATATTCTTTACTTTCATAATATTAATCTCAAAATGCGCAATATTTTAAGTGTCCGAAAGATAATAGTTCTTTTCTGAAGATAACCGATTATCAAAAAATACTTTTTCTTTATCTCTATATTTCAAGCAGAATTTTTTTCTTTTTTTGACGAAACTGCTATGGTCTGTAATGGGGGCTTGTCTGTAAGGGAACGGGGAAAGGGGGGAGGGGGGAGCCGCGAAACCTCGAACTTAAAACTTACACTCACTATTTTCTTCGAAAATATATGTGAGTTCCGCAAAAAGAGACATAATTAACAATAAATAAGAGTGAGTCATAAATAAGCAAGAGAAACAGTAAAAACAGAAGTTTATTTTTTATTATTGTTCTTCCATTCGTTTCTACTGTTCTCATCGGAATGCATATTTACCGTCCAATCACGATTAGTCTTGTGACCAGCTGATAATATATTTCTTATTCTTCTATTATACCTCACTTTTTAAGTAAATGAAAAAAATTTTGATATAATGAAAATTTAGTGTCCAAATTACCAGGGCACGAGGGCCTTGTCCTGCCCTGCCTTGTGGGCATCTTTGATGCATAGTATTTGTACATTTTCGAATATACTATAGAAGCTATGCTCTATTTCGATTAATAAATTAACTGTTTTAGTGAAGAAGGGTGTTGATTTTAAAATAGAAATAAAATTACTTCATTTCTCTAGTATCTTTGGGTCTTACAAACAATACTGAACTATCAGCTATGCTGTATTTGATTATTGGTATAACCAGGGTTTTCATAGTGAAGAGGAAGGGAGCGCATATAGCTAGGCTCTACTTGATGGAAGGGCTAGTCGCATAGTTCAGCTAGTATGGCGTCGATCGCTGGGAGCTCAGTTCTTAAAAACATCCTCTCTCTTGTTTACGCCACTACTTCTCATGTGAAGTTCTAGTCAGCCGACAGAGCGAAAAAAGCATAGCGTTTTAAGTGGATCAATATCAAATGCACTACGTGTGGCAACCTCTTAAAAAATTAAATGGGCCGAGACTTTGATGAATACTAGTAGCTAGAAAAAAAAATTCTCTATCAAACTGTGTTTTTACTTCTTTTCAGAAAAGTGATTATAACCGAGAAATATTCAATACAATCTGTTCAATCTAAACAGATATAAAATATTACCATTACACTATATTCTTATTGGTCGTCGAGTTTCATTGCTCAGCATTAGTCTAATTAATCGATAATTTTCTCGAGAAAAAAAAATAGGCCGAAAAATCTGACTTCATGAGATGATTTGTCTCGTGTCAAGCTACAATTTGATATAAAGTACTCCCTCTGAAAAAGCGATCGAAGCATTTCAGAAATTAGCACCGCTAAGTGCATTAGTGCATTCGCCGTTTGATATTGATTTGATCATTTTTCTCGATTTGTCTGTAGACTATTCAACGAATTTTAATGTTTTCATATCATACGATTTTATAGATTATTCAAATTTTTCAAAGTAAACAAAGCATTGGTCAACTGTTTGTATTATAAAAACTGGACCGGTACTATTTAGCCAATTAGGTGGTAAGTCGATCGTTAAATTTATTCTATATTTCTTGGTACTCTATTTATGATTGCTTCAATAACAATAAGTGGTTTTCATTTTCATAACATAAAATTAGTGAAATTTTTTTTTCGTGAGATTATTTTTTTAAAGCGACAGTTTTTTTTCACTTAATTTTAATTCACCTACTCGTTTAAAATGTTTTTTTTTTCGAGCCAATCCTTTTCAATCTGTAAATTTTTGCAAACTTTATCCAATTCAGTTCAAAGTAGTTTGTAGATTTTTCAAAATGTTTCCGTGAATGGAA